CGAGGGGCGAGCAGGAGCCCAGCGCCTGCCCAGCACCTGCTCAGCCTGTGGTGGGGAGAGGAGGGACTCGGCGAGGGGCTGCCAACCTGCCCCCAGGGCTCCTGTCCTGGGGAACCGGCTCCAGGTGCTGCCAACCCCCAGCACCTCCACAGGAGCTGCTGCTGGGGTGCAGGGCCGGGCCCCCGGGACAGCATCTCCGGCGGGGCGGGGAGGGGGCCAGTGGCCCAGCCTCAGTGCCAGCAGCTGTGCCCAGGGAGCCTGAAGGGCTCGGGCCTGAGCTCGGCTTCCCCGCTGGTAGCGGCCCGAGCAGCCTTGTTTGTGTGGCCGGAGGCCGCCAAGTCGGGAGCTGCAGCGTTACCTAAAATGGTCAAAGGCAGAGGAGTGGGTCTGGCGGCTGCCCAGCCCGGCCACGCTCCCCAAGGCCCGTCTGGCTCCTCCACGACATCAATCTACGGACGGAGCTCTGGGGAGGGGACGGCATCACCAGCCGCAGATCCCCTGGGGAAGGGCAATGGAAAGAGCAGAGCGAGGGAAAGAACCCAGCCAGCCCAAGGCTTAACCCCTCCGTGGCTTTGGCAGCCCAGGCCCCCGCGTCCCCGGCCCCGTGTGTGTGTGTGTGTGTGTGTGTGTGTGTGTGTGAGCACGTGCCGCCACGAGGGACGGCGGCTCTTACCGTTCCAGGAGACCTCCAGCTCCCGCGGAAGCAAGGGGATGCTGCGGCCCTCCTTCAGGGCAGGGCTCACGTACGAGGCGAGGTACGGGACGGACTCCCAGATCTGTCAGGGGAAAGGCAGGAGGACTCAGCACGAGGCCGCGCCCGCCCCACGCCTCCGCCCCGCGATCTCCCACGGCTCCCGCAAGCTGCTCCTACCCGGAGTGCACCTCGGGAGTGTGGAGGGCGCCCAGGCCCAGGGGCTTCTCCCGAGGGGCAGAGCCCCCCCGGCAGCACGCAGGGGCCGCAGAGGAGCGCCCACACCCCTGGGAGCGGAGGGAAAGCGACTGCCAGGCCCGCAGGGGCCAACTGAGACTTGGGGTTCGTCTCCGCCGCTGTCCGAGTGGCTTTGAGCGGTTAGGTGAAGCCATCCCACCTCAAGCCCCGGGGCAGAGACGCAGCAGAACCCAAAGCCCGGCCCAAAGGGAGAGCAGCCTCCACGTCCCGCAGAGCTGCGGGGACTGCTGGCACCCGAGGGGACACGGCCTGGTCTCCGTGCGACCGGAGGCGCAGGGAGGAAGGGATGGGGATGCCCCCCCGCTCCGAGCACCCGCTCTCCCGGCAGCCCCAGCAGCCCCCGGCGCTGACGACGCCCCGCGTCCTCGGGGTGTGACGCGCTCCCCGGAGCCAGCTGCGCGGGGGGAAGGCGCTGGGGCTGCTGACGAAGCTCCCCAAGCCATGAATCAGAGCTGTCGTCTCCCCCCAGCGAAGGCTCTCGCCCATGGCTATATATAGTGCTGAGAGCGCAGCGGCTCGGGGGCAGGTCGCAGGCGTTGCCGAAAGCCTCGTTACTTCATACCAAAAGCAGCCTTACAGCGAGGGCCGGCAGGATGATGGCCAAAGCGCTGGCCCCCAGTGGCAAGCGTGGCCCCGTGGCGCTGCCAGGACAGCGCCGGTCGCCGCCGGCGAGCTGGGCTGGGGGGGGACAGTCACCTTGGCGGCGTTCACCAGCCTCCAGGCGTTCAGCAGGCCGAAGCCGTGCTGGTGGCTGTGGCGGAAGCCGGCCTGGTTGGTGTCCCACTTGGCGCGACGATCCTCATACTGAAAAGAAAGGCAGGACAGCTTCGTTACGGCGGGGCCACCGGCAGCCCCGCCAGCAAAGGGAACTGGGCCTGAGGGGAAGGAGATCAGAAACAGCCCGAGGCAACGGGGAATCAAACCCTCTCGGCCTTATTCGAAAGGAACGGGTTGACCGGTGTTTGAAACAAGTCCCGGGACCAACAGGCATCCCGGCTCCTCAGAAAGGAAATTAAACAGCATGAAAGGGCACAGATGCCTCTGCTCTGAAACATCCCAGCTGCTCCGCGCTGCCCCAGCCACAGCCCGGGGGACGGCAGAAGCCTCGGGGAGAGGGAGCCCAGTCCTTTCAATCAACAAGAGCCGGGCCAGGACAGATCTGGGTCCCATCACTTCTCGGGCCGTAGGACCCCGGCACCAGCCGGGCACGGCCCCGTCCCCAGGCCGAAGGGGGCAGCTCCCGCCCGCTCCCACTGCTGCGCTCCGCAGAGCAGCTGTGCTGGAGCTGAGGGAAGGGGA